TCATGCTTTTCCGGTTATTACCCGTCCCCTTGTGTGTTATGAAGGTTTTTATGCATGTAAACGGTGTGCAGAGTCAAAACCCTCAAAGTACACCCTGTAGCGAGTAAAACTCTAACACAGAAAATACCTCCCCAAAACGCCTCGTTGGAGATACGTCATTGTCCATTTGATTCTTCCATTTCGTTCCGGGTACGGCATGATGTCAAGCGGTACCCGGAACGAAATGGTCCAATCCCGAAGAGCCGTTACGTTACGTCCGCGGAGCCGTTACGTTAAGCCCCCGCTGATTGGTCCAAATTGACCAATCCACGGACTTCCTCACACACACATCTGTGTGCAGGGAGCAGGGAGCTCTGCTGATTTCTCCTCCCTGGCTGCAGGCTGATAACAGACAGTTGGGATCGCGGCAAAATTCTCTCTGCAGACCCATTCTCACAGCGTTTATCAACCTTTTTCTTACTCAATATCAAGCCACACTTATTGTTTTTACTTCGGATGTGAGTTTGTGTGTGCTCAGGATGAATTTGGCTGTGTTTCGCTATGTATCCTAAACAAGGAAACAACACCTCCACGGAGTTCAGCGCGATTCACAACGTCCCGACCAATCAGAGCACACTGTGCTCACAGGGAGGGTGGGGGCTGGAGCTTTTGGAGCTACAACGAGCCGTGAAAGGCAGATAGTGAAATTCAGTGAATACAAGTAGTTTACAGAGATGCTGTATGAGAAACCAATGTGAGTTTGGAAAAATGCACAGTATAAATCTATTTTAGTAGACCTCAACAATGGAATTATGATCAGTGGAAATGGCCATGACACCTCTCCTTTAAATGAAGTTTGCTGCTCTTTATGCAAGTAAAGCAGACCATTTTTATAAGAAGAAAGCCTCGCTGAGTGGTATTATTTTGTTTATCACAATCATATAATAAAATGACTCCCTGTGTACATACAGGCACAGCAGACTGTATTATGGAAGTCCGAGGGTGCACACGTAACGGTACTGGAAAATGTAAATCTCCTACATTTGAAAAAAGTTGCAAGAAAATAATTTTGCGTCGAAATGTTTTATTTTCTCTTTCTTTTAAAGAGTCACATCAACTAAAGTACAGTTTCAGTTTGGTTGTATTTGCTTGTTCGATATTTCTCCCAGTTCCTTTGAATATACAAAGTTATCTGAAGATTATTGGATTCATGAAACGTATTGATTATTCGTAAAGCTCTGAATGGCCTCTGTGTTTGTGCGCTGGTACATACTTTGAGTTTGTAGAGTGATCTTCTTCCCTTCCCTAATTGTTTGGTTCCACATCTATTATTGTTCAATTTTCTATCAACCTTAGCACCAGACATCTTCAACGTCCCTGTGAAAACACTTGTAGATGCAGTAGAAGACTTGCAGTTAAACAATCTGGTGAATGTCCCAAGAACCATATTACTGTTTACCTGGAGAGATGTACCTGAAGCAAGCTCTTGATGCGTCTCAGATCTGAAGCTGAGAGTTAAGAAGATCTGCTTTGTGTGTTACTCTGTCCCACATAATTGGAGTATGCTTGAATAAAACTTAAAATGACATAACATAAAAGGTTTAATTGCTTGTCTTATTGACCATTACAGTATTTGCTTGTATTTCTTTTTATTGATATAGCAATGTATTCTTCTGTTGCTGCTGATTGAGCATTATAGTTCTCCTTCAATGAGTTCTCCGAGGTGTTGAATAAAATAAAAAGATCCTCCAGCTGAGGTTTCTCATCGTGTTTTGTTCTTGAGGGCCCAGCTAAAAGACTAAAGCGAACAGAGTGCTTACAGTCGGGGCCCCGAGGCTCTGGAACAATCTGCCCGAGGAAACAGGTCGGTGTCACTGATCTCCGTTAAGTCCCTTCTTGAAACATCCTTTTATCTGAGAGCCTTTCTGATTTTACTTGATATAATTTCCTTTTCACTCTCCTTTATTTCCACTAAAAATCTTGTTTTTTTCCCTATTAACTTTTTCCACACTATATTGGTTTTATACTATATGCACCAAATCGTTTTTTCTTCTATAAAACATGATTTAGGACTTTTCAGTTTTAAATTGTACTGCCTTTATGAGGCACTTTGTACCTTGGATTTTAAAAATGTATAACTACATTATATTATATATTTATAATATTATATATTTATTTGATTATTATGATTCCTACTTAAAGGTAGGGTAGGTATGTTTGAGAAACCGGCTCGAGATCGCTAGAATTTGAAATAACACAACCGGAGAAAATCTGCCACTTCCTTATAGAGCCCCTCCTCCAACACACACTAACGCGCACATGACCAATGAGGGCACGAGATAAGTTTGTGCACAGATGGAAGGCTGACAGGCAGGTAGGCCATCCAGTTATTTTAGCCGGGCCGGCTAAAATGATTTGTCGTACTTTTTACAGTACTACGGCTTCCACAGATGACATTTTTTTATGGATTTTTTGTCAAAGCACTTAAGATATTCATTGCTATCGGGATGTTAAGAGCATTCCATGGAATATAACAAAAAGTGTATCTCGAGCCGGTTTCTCAAACTTACCTACCCTACCTTTAATATAGACACTATGTAAACATCATTATTCAATACTCTTAGAGTTAACAGAGATTCTCACTGTTAGTCATGATTAGGGATGGGTATCGAGAACCGGTACTAAGTCAGTACCGGTACCTGATTGGACGGTATTGGTATACCGTTAAGCCGCTGGACAAACGGTGCTGCTATCGGTATATGAATTACGCTGCTTCCTTAGTTTAAACAATTCTGGTTGGTTGGGAACCCTCATCCCGTGTGACGTATCCGGTTTGATTACCACTCTGATTGGCCACTGTGAATGCCACTCGCCATCTCTCCTAACAGAAGATGCATATGGCTGCCAATGGCTTTTCAGTTTGGTCCCATGTTGCAGATTCTGAGATTTGTCTATATTATTTTGTGTTTGAAAGAGTTTTTTCTGCATGAAGAAGATCTGAATGTTCAAATTGCAACAGAAAATAAAAATAAAGAAATCGTGGGGGCGAAGATTAATGTACACATTTCCCCTTTGGAAATCTCTGGGAAACATCCTGAAAACTGAAATGTTGATACATGGAGACGCTTGAGTGATTAAAGAAAGAAAGAGCACAAGCACCATTATTAAACATGACCTCCTGTCGCCCTCAGGTACATCCACGCCCTCTACCTGGGAGCCCAGAGCCGCTGGCACAGGAGTGGGCCGCTCCACCACTTCCACTGGCGGCTGATGTTCGAGAGCGCCGACATCACCATGCTGCGGCTCCTGGAAGCCTTCCTGAAGTCCGCCCCGCAGCTCGTCCTGCAGCTCAGCATCATGATCCACGGGAACATCGTGCACCCTCTGCAAGGTGAGCCACACACACTTCCTGTCCCACTGTGAGAGGTGTGACACATCAGTTATCAATATCACTATAATGAAGTCAGACTGAGCAACAAGGGATTAAACAAACCAGATTATTTGAACCACTTTACGACAATGAATGTTTTGAGTAAAATGCTGATATTGTGCGTGCGTGTGTGTGTGTGTGTGCGTGTGTGTGCGTGTGTGTGTGTGTGTGTGTGTGTGTGTGTGTGTGTGTGTGTGTGTGCGTGCGTGCGTGCGTGCGTGCGTGCGTGCGTGCGTGCGTGCGTGCGTGCGTGCGTGCGTGCGTGCGTGCGTGTGTGTGTGTGTGTGTGTGTGTGTGGTGGGCAGATATCAGTAGGATAGTCTATGCTTTATTTATGCATTCCTTGCAAGATACACAAGAAGCTTGGCCTTTGATGAAAACTCTCTGTTTCTATCACACTCACAACCACACACACACACACACACACACACACACACACACACACACACACACACACACACACACACACAAACAGTCAACCCTCCCAGCATTCCACACACACCTTGAGGCAGAGAAGTGAAGAGTCGGACACATATTTGAATTGTAAAGTAGAAACAGTTGCAGGACATATACAAAGGCTACACAAATACACACAAACACATCTGTGACAAAAACACATTTTACACACTGAGAGATATGCATAATTTGTTAGTTATTCAACACCAAAATGATACGAGAGGACACCAGGGACAGTGGCTGACAACACTCTGTGTAGCATAATAGCTTTATGGAAGCTACATTACATGCTGTAATGTGGCTAAAATTAGCCTCACTTTTTGGCAGCAGCTCTCCCCCGGGGGTATGATAAAGTAATTATTTGTTAACTCTTCCTGAAGATATGATCTCTCTCCATGTGACATTTGAAAATAAGGGTTGATTATGATCTTGCCTCATTTCCTCTCTTTCTCTCTACTCCATCTCTGCCTTTATAGTGCTCACAGGAAATATCGACACACACACAATTTGAGGTCTATTTACGGTAACAATAGTTGGGAGGGTTATTTAAAAAAACGATTCCATTACAATAACTAATGACCTGTTTAAAGATGTTATCAGTAACCTAATCTGAGTATCAAGATACAAAAGTAATGTAACCTGAATCCTTTTTATTACTTCTGGATTATCTCAAGGTCAAATGCGATGCAAATAAATAAAAGAGACAATAAATATCAATATGTTTTTAACTTGAAGGGGCCCTATTATGCTTATTTTCAGGTTAATATTTGTGTTTTTTATCAAAAGTGCTTTATTTGTCTCTCTTTATTTTTACTGCACCTCTTTTTCGGTTATGGCTAGAAAGGATCCGTCTTGTGTAAATATGACGTCACGTTCTCGTTGTAACTCTCGTTGTAATCGGAGCGGCTCGGAAACACATCTACAGCAGTAACATGCAACATACACATTAATGCAGCAGCAATATTAATAGAGAAACATCAGACATAATAGTAAAACACTGAAAGGGAACATTTTATTGCACCAGGAGCTATCTTGGGACTTTTACTGCGACAACGTTGACTTGCCTGTGAATAAAAAATAAACCATAGTGTTGGTGATTTCCAGTGTTGTCATTCTTCTTTGAACAGCAAGACCGCTAACACCCTATTTCCACAATCACACTCCCTGTAATTGACATAATTAATAGATAGTTTAGCTTCTCACCATCATTTGCTGTGGCCCACTGATGTTAACGATCGTAACTGAAAGGCTGCCTGCCAAACGTAAACATTCAGCCACGTGACTTGCAAACTCTCGCGAGAGTTTTACACAAGACGGATCCTTTCTAGCCATAACCCTCTTTTTCCCCTCTGTTGAGAGAGAGCCCAGTCTGCTCTGATTGGTTAGCTGGCCGGCTCTGCAGTGATTGGTCAACCGCTAAGAGATGTCCCGTCCCTGAGCCTATCATGTACAATGTTTTGGAGCGCTAATCATATTGATGTCAATATGTTACAGAAGTAAAAGGAGGAGTCCAATAGAGACGTAAGGGAATGCATTTGTTGTATCCTGATTACGTAATCCAGTTACATGTAATCGGTTACTCCCCAAGCCTGATGGTTACCTACTATCTGTTAATAGACATAATGTTTCTAAATGTTGGCACGTCCATTAAACAATACAGACTGCCCTACACACATTGCATCCTCTCGGTACTGATTTGGCTGATTGATTTATTCATCATCCAAAAATTAATAAACTATCTGTACTGCCAATTAATTATGTGTCATCTGTTAAGTATAAATCCTTAACATGTGCTGGTTCCAGTTTCTGCAAGTGTTGAGATATGTTGGGCTTTCCAAGCAAAAAGGCTTCATCTGTCTTTTTCTACCCATAATCCTCTTGGTTTTGGGTTATTTTATTGTGTAGCTGCTGTAATATGTTTTCTCAAGCTGCACTCCTGGAATTATGTCATGTAATGTGTCTAACTTGTACACGTAGGTCGGGTTTATCAATGTTAATATCAGCAGGAGGGGATTGTTTGTATGTGCTTGCAACATGTAAGACAATTATGTTTTTGTGAAAGTCAAGATTGTTCCTGAATGATGTTGGTACAATATGTCTTATCTAAATGTCCTGCATCACAATCCTTAAAACACAATTAAAAAATATGCAACCAATAACTCAATGATGAAGTGCAACCTACTGTGAAATAAACCCACTTTTAAAACGTGCTTTCCAACACTTTTTATGTTGTATTTCTGCGTTCTTAAAAAAAAAAATATATAAATATTTTTCTCAAAGAGCATAAGCTGGAGTTGACAAACACACTTAAATCCCAAGAAAAAATGTGGCCATTAGAAAATGAATAAAGGAAAAGTACATAGTTGCAGAAGTACTTTTTTCCCGTTAAAAGACACCATTTTGACCTAAAAACTAGTCGTTTTCAAAGCTGAAACTGGTTTTCAATAGTTTTGGTAAATATCTAACTCAAATATCAGTAAGTTTCAACATGCGAGCAATATTCAACTTCTCTTTGGTGTTTTCATTAAAAAAAAACAGGGTCCTGAAAATTACATTAAAATGCAAAGTCGGTGCAGCTCTTACCCTGCTCAAATTGTAATGCCTTCTCGAGTGATTCATGACTAATTTGAGACAAAACTGCATGATTAACGACCATGAATGTTTAATGCATTAATCTGCGCTCTGGGCGGCTCGCAGTTACATGTGCGGGCTGACGATCGTCTGACTTCAGTAGAGACTGGTCTGGGTCATTCTGAATGAGCATGTAAAGCATGTAAGTTGACCCTGAGTTATTATCATGTTTGTCATGGTCTTCCCAAGGTTTTTTTTCCCCAAGGACTCACTTGCATCATCTACCTTACAAATATATTGTACTTGTGTACTGCATTTTCCTTGTTACTGATTGGCCAACACGTAAAATACCAATATATCTGCAAAACTTTGGATATAATTCCGTCTAACAATGTCACTGATTAGAGTTGACAGCCCATCAATCAAGTGTTGGAGACACTTTTGCACAATTATGGTATCATGTATTTCTTTTTGGTGTTTCATGTCAAGTGGATTTTGCCAATGATCTCCTTTTCTTTCTTTCATTTCCCCCTTCATCACGCAAATGTATTTCTATTTGTGTCTCTCCCCTCCTTGCCTCATCATTTGTTCCTCTGTCTCTCTCTTCCTGTGTGTCTGCAGGTCTCTCGGCTTCGGCCTCCCTGGTCTCTCTGGCCTGGATGATCGCCTCGTACCAGAAGGTTCTCCGAGACTCCCGCGACGACAAGCTGTCGATGTCTTACAAGGCCGTGATCACCCAGATGCTGTGGCACTTCTTCACCATCGGGGCGAGGACTGTGGCCTTTGCCCTCTTCGCCTCCGTCTTCCAGCTCTACTTTGGCATATTCATCGTCAGCCACTGGTGCGCCCTAAGTGACCTCATGCAAAGAGTCTGGGTCCACAATGACAAGTTTAGAATTAACACTTTATATCACATTTTTAACAGATATCAGAGGTTTTTTTTATCCTTTGAGTTAATGAGTTAATGATTTTCTGCGAACATTGACTGAATTGACATTTAACACATATCTGCCATCTTGTATCTTAACAGCAGGTTTACCAGCAGAAGTAGGAGATTATTTATTTATGCAGACTCTTTCCAAATTAGGGGCCTTAAGAGCAATGGAATTTATGAAATACTGAACAATTATTTGATGTTGAAACACAAGAACAACAACAAAAATAAATGCTAAAATAATAATGTTTGGAGGAAGACTTCATCTACTTTGAGATGAGGAATGGCCTGGCTTTGTGAAACTAGTGTAACCTCAAAGTCATTAAAAGTATTTTTGAAGTTACATCAAAGTAAACACATTATTCTTGTCATTATAAAAATCACAGGAGCTGACTACAGTTTTGTCTTTCAGGTGTGTCATGACCTTCTGGATCATCCAAGGTGAGACCGACTTCTGCATGTCCAAGTGGGAGGAGATCATCTACAACATGGTGGTGGGCATCATCTACATCTTCTGCTGGTTTAATGTCAAAGAGGGCCAGAGTCGCTTTCGTATGACCGTCTACTACTCTGTGACGCTGGCAGAAAACGTGGCGCTGACCGCCGCCTGGTACACGTACCGCGGCCAGCAAACCTCCGACTCCTCCGCCCTGGTGGTGGTGTGCCTGGTGGCCTGCAGCTTCGCCCTGGGAACCTTCTTCATGTTGGTGTACTACTGCTGGCTGCACCCTGATGGGCCAGTGCTGGGCTCGCAGTGGGGAGGGTGTGTGGACGAGGGTGTGGTGGGTGCGGGAAGCGTAGTGGGAGTGATTGATTCTTGCATCACCCCATCTCAAGGGTCGCAAACCGACATGGTTATTACCAGCCCTCCGAGGACCCTCCCCAGGACTAAAGACACGGGGGAGCCGGTTCCAGGGGAGAGAGACAAGGACCGAGACAGGGACAGTTGCCTTCCTGTCTTCCAGGTACGTCCCTCCCCTTCATCCTCTCCTGCACTCCTTCACAGGACCTCCTCATCATCCCGCGCCCAGGAAGGCCCTGTGATCCGGATTGACCTACCGAGGAAGCGATACCCAGCCTGGGATGCACACTTTATTGATCGGCGCCTCCGCAAGACCATTCTGATATTGGAGACCACGTCAGCCGTCAGCCCCAGGATACAGTACAGGTGTAGCATGATGGGCAGCAAAGAGGTGTTAGAATATGAGACAACTGTCTAAGCCAGCAGGGGCTTTAAACTTAAAAGTGAAGTCTGGGACCAAGGCTCAGCCGAGAGATCAGTTCTCATCCCAGGACAACCTATGCCAGGAGCAGCATGTTAAAGGACACACAGAGTGGTGGGTAACTCTTCATTCAAAAAAGAGGTTGTCAAAACTTGATTGTAAAATGTGAGGCGCAATCTGGGACCAAAGCTCTCCCCCTTAGGGCGCAGTCCAGGAGTACGTAGCATGAATGAGTCGTAGGAAGTAAATGGAGAAACACTGAACTGGGATAATCTTTGGTGAGAAATGTAATCTCTCATCCTGGGACCAAGGAATGTTAGATTTAGTTTCATCCTGCATGGTCAGAACAAGGAGTAAAAGGACTTGAGAGCGATGAAGTTGTGGAGTTTGATATATCTGAGAAACAGTTTGCTGCATGAACATGAGCCGTGGGCCACAGAGAGCCTACAGAGACTTACCAGGGAACTTTTAGAGGCTTTGCTCGGGACATGCAATCATTTGGTTTGATGGCAACTCAGACAATGACCTACATTTGGGGCTCACTACCCAATATAATATATACCCAAAACATATTGCTTTAGATGTCTTGTTTCAACCACATTTAGCCCAGTTTTAGCCAAGGCGTCTAGATTTCTTTGTACCTCCAAATTTCTAATTCAATGTCAATTGAGTCTATAGATTTTGTATCGATTATTGTTTGTTATTTAGCAAGGAGAAAGGGATAACATTTTACATTTGTGTACCATCCTGTTTCAAATGGTTGCATGTCCCTCGCAAACTTCGGTAACAAACCTTCAAGCATTCTGTTGGTGGTGTCTAAAGAGAAATGTACTCTCATACATTTAACTTTAGTCTCATGACACCAAGAGAACCCATTAAATATCGACTCACAAGTCCATATGGTTTCTAAAAAAGCCTCAAGTGATAATGGTCACCCATCCATATGTGATTGAAAAAAAAAGCCATCGCAAAAGTCCTACTGTTTACATCCCAGCTGCTCTGTCCCCACAACCTGAGAAAGGACTTGTTTGGGGAAATAAATCTGGACTGGATGTAAAGTGGATGACTTCTGCAATGGCTCCCATCATATGGCATGCTGTAACTCACCACAAACAGGCCTGTGATGTATAGTAGAATAAATACAGATGTCAGATATAAGCTATTATAATAAGCTATAGTTAGGTGATGAATGACGTTTGGATGAAGAAGCGTCATTTACTCGTAAGAGTCTAAATGTCGTCCATTTTTCTTGGAAAACATTTAATGTAGAGGTATGAAGGGAATCATGAACAACCTCATTATGCTATGAAAACATTTTCCAGTGTTTTGTTTTTGGACAGAACAGAAGCTGATGAAATTAGCTTAACCATGTCAACAAACCTTGAGGACTCGAAAAAGTTTGTTAAAACGTGGATGCATCCAAAAAACACTAGGATTCATCTAGTAAGCAGTTAACACAAGAAAATTGATAACAACAGCTCAAAGATGCAAAGAACCAGGATTGCCTTTTAAAGGCTAGCAAGTTGGCAAAAGCTGCTATATGTTGTTACAGATAGAAAGTTGACAATGGTTTGCGCTTCTTGAGAGGTGACATTGTTTACAAAACGAAAACCATATACAGGCCTTTGACTCAACGTCGATATTGGCAGATTCAGGTTTGAGTGACATCATCTGTCAACTGACTGAAAACTGATATGAGAAACCATCTTTGCTCCTTTTAAACTGTGATTGAAAGGGTTAGGGTTGTGATACCATGAAGAGAGGAGCCACAACTTGAACTAATTCAGTGGAGCTTATCTGCAACTAACTTCAGAGGTTGAAGTTTAAAAGTGTGAATGTGTTACTATTTGGAAGCAGCTACATGGAGGTGCTGAGAAAGTCAAGCATGGTCAGCACCAGTAGTGAAGGAAAACACAAAACACTAGCCTCAATGCTAATGTGTCCTCTCTCATATTACACATCAGATTTCTCTTTGGCAGTCTCTCTTTGAAGTTATTCTAAAATACATTATTTTCTTTAAAAGCCTTTAGCGTTAGTCTGTGCATTTAAGGTGACTTGTGATTTGTTATGGTGTGGGAGTTCTTTAAGTCCATCCCAGAAACATTTAAACCAATGTTGTGATTGTTTTAGATAAAGGCAGCAGAAGGTGTTAGCATTTTTAGCAATGCACTCAAAAGCATTTCTCCCAAGAACATTACATTCCCCATGTGATCCTGGTTTTATCTCAAAAAAGCATGTTCATCTAAACACGTTTGAAGATGCAATGGACAGTGTATGATTTCAGTTCATGAAATGATTTGTTTATCAAACTTAGTTGCTGAATTACCAAGATTCTTACATCACATACCATCAAGCATTTAGAAGATGCCAATGTTCAGGGGGTTACCACTTCAGGGTTGACTGACACGAGCACAAATCCCAAAAAGATTATGGCACAGTCATAACAATCTGCTATCAAGCACAATGACTAAAAATGGCATTACAACTTAAATGTTGACACTTCCCTCACCCTTTTCAAACTTGGTGCAGGCTTACCATCAACATTTTAAGTGTAAAAACTGAGAAAATTAGCTCAACAACAAGCACGTATAAATCTGTTCGCCAACTCCGACCTGACGGCGAATAACAAGAACATGATTTGGGCAACGTAGTTTACTTTTGTGGGTCATAAAGATCTCAAAACTCAAACAGTGCAGTATCCAGTGCGGGTGTAATTATCCCTTTTATGCTGATGATGCGTATGTATATTTGGATGTGTCAAAGACTCCCAAGCAAAGCATTTTCAAACGTATGTACTTGAGGTTAATGAGAAGAGCAAATCACTAAGCAGTGTTTCCACTATATGGTATGGCTCTACTTGTATCCACTCACTTATTTTTGGTTTGCCATAAGGAAAGTTGAAGACAATACTTGGTACCAGCTCAGCCGGGGTTTCATGCATACGGCAATACTACAAGTTGACGTTACATCATTGCAGACCACTGATTGGTTTGAAAGAAACAGCACTAGCGTGTTGCAACAAAGTACCGTCATAGCAATTTTTTTCACTCAATCGAAATTCAACGAGTCTCCCGTGTGTCACTACGGACAACAGCTGATCTACAAAACTAAAAACAAAACGCCTGGTTCCAAAAGTCAAGTTGAATCGAATTAAGCCATACCATGCATTGGAAACGGGGTTTGAGAGCAGTTTATATACTTGCTTTTTAACAAGCAGCTGTGATGCAAGCAGGGTTGAGGTCGGGCATGATAATTATTCATAAACTTACCTACATGATTTTAAATCTACCTAGGGAATTAAAACGTGTATATGCTAGGTGTGAATCTTCTCCAGCTCACAGAACATCTCCTTTGAACGTTTTTTTTTATGTTCAACGTCATTACGCTATGAAATAAAGTATGCTACTCAACAGTTAATATCCTTTTAGATTGTCTTCAAAACCTGCTGCCCTGCCTGCACTGTTCATGTTTCCAATTGCATCTTGCAGATTGATGCTTTAAAGGATCACTGGGTATACAGTGTGACCATCATGCAAACGTATGCATTGTTAGAAGCAAGTGTATAAACGCTCTGTCCCTCAACACGTTTGTGGATGTTATTCCCAATGAAGGCAAGGACAAAAGGTCTACAGTATATAAGCTCTCCTCACACAGATGTGGGTCTCCTTCGCATGGGAAACTGTTGTGTCATTTTGACTCTGCTTGGTGGTAACGGGAATATCAGAAATCAGGATAACAAATAAAAAATGAATATTGGTAATAACTTGGTAATTATAGTTGTATTATCCTGACAGTGTTGTGTCCTACCTGAACTTGTGGATGTTGGTACAGTGGTGACAGTCACTGCAATGTTAATGGTGCTGAAAACAACGCCTCTATGTCGACACTGATTATGTCATGTCAAACATGATAATGTACAGATAATGCATATGTGAACTACCCAGTCTGAGGCCAAGGGCGAAGCTTCTCTTTCTCTGATTGGGTAATAAATCAGTCCTTTGTCGTTGAGGTAAAATAACCGTTAAAAGTGGTGCGCTGGTTATACTGTATATCAACTTGAACAAAAACATGTTAAAAAGTAAGTGAGTTCAAAACTCAATTCATCTTTTATTAATTGATGCAAGTATTTATGTTTATTTATTTTTGTATTTGTTTTATATCTATTTATCTATTGTTTACTCACTCGGTGGCCATGTCTTTGGTATGACTCTTATATTAAGATGTAAAAACTGAAAATAGATTTTTTTTTAACTCATTCTATATATCTGTATATACCAGAGTGGCGCTAAACTAGGATGTGTATGTATGAGTACGTGTGCTTTGGTTTGTATGTATGTATTGTATGTACAGTATGTACAGTATGAGGATGTGCTCTAAGTTCTTTTGATAATGCTGCTTAAACATCCTCTGAGTGATCGAGCAGAAAAATAAACCAGTGGTGAAAATATCTATGACGCTGTTATAAAAAAATAAAAAAACTCAGCAAGCTGTGCTGATAACTGTAGATGGGAACAAAACTGTAGTAAACATGGCTGAACAGCCGTCGAAATCCACCGCTGTGTCTGCGTTGTCTGTCACGGCCAGAGATGGGACAGTAACTAATTACTCAATAAATTGAACTTGTACGTTTACTACATTGTTACCTATTTGGCTTTTAATAATGTAACATTTGAATCCAATGAAAGGAGTATTGTGTGAGGATTTGCAATTGGGAAAACAATTGGCACATTTCGTGACTTGCAAAATTAACTAAATGTGTTGTAAATGTGTTGTTTTTGTTATTATGTTGATAAAAAAAACATGCTTTGGGCAGCATTTCGTTCCTTCAAAGTGTATATGCTGTGGAAAAGTGAATAACTGTAATTTCTGGAAAACAGGTTTGGTGCCATAACAAATCAAGATGCCAATGCAGACTATCAATGTAAAACATATGTTGTTTTTATACTTCCAGGAACAAAATAGTTAAATTTTAAACATAAAAAAATATCATTATTTTACCATTGAATACATGATGTTAATGAACAGGCAATATAAATCAAGCTATTGCATGTCCAGGTATGCTTTTTAGAAAAGGTTTTACCACTTCAGTGATTACTTGTTTTGATTGTTAGGCCTAAAGCATGATATTTAGGGGTTGGCTTGACAGGCGTCTCAGCCAATCACTTTCAGTTACCTGTCTGTGAGCAAAAACTTGACAGAACAATTTGTACGAATCGTCAGTTTATTGGTGCTCGATTGACATTGTTACACTCATGAAACAATGCGCTATAGTTGCCAAACTTAGATTGATCTAAAATTCAGAATTGTCTTTGTTACTTAATTTTAATCCAACAGGTTCTAGAAACCCCCCTCACTCTTGTCCAACATTATATCTCCACTGGGACAGGATCATTTCTGTTACCCACCATGGTTTTCTGTATGTTTGGACTGTACCGAGGAGTTTCAGGTGTGAAACCGGAGCGAGGCGGAGCTGAAACTGAAGCTGGAGCTGAAACTGAAGCTGGAGCTCCACCAACCTTCTCCTCTGAATGTCCCGCCCCCTTTCTCTTCTTTCTTGTCAGCCCTCCTTTCGCGACAACACAAACCAATATCCTTTGATCTCTCTTTCTTGCATCAGCATCATCCATCCTGAGGGTTTGGTATTTATTTGGCCGGCGTCTCTGGAGATCCAGCAACCAAACAACAATCCATCCTTCTTCTATATTTCTTCTCCTCTACTGTACGTGTTTTTTTGTTGTTGTTGTTTTCTGTCATTTCACTGTTTTCAGTCTGTTTTCTTCTCTTTTTTTCATTGACTAGCTGGCAGAAGGGGATCAGAGCTGAGTGTCCCTCACACTTTAATCCATTTGTTCTTCATTTTTCCCCCAATTGTTCTAACTTGTTTTTCCTCTCACTACCTCCTTAAACTATTCTGCCATCAGCCCTTCAGTTCTTTATTCCTCCTTACTTCTTGTATCACATATTTTCTATTTATTTATGTCTCCGTCCACAACCATTATGGTATTTCTGTATTTCTCTCGATCTTTGATTCTTTTCATTGTCATCCTTTTTGATTCATCTGTCTCATCCCTCCTTCCTTGTTTAGTCATTTCCTAATGCCTTCCTTTGATTTCCATCAAATTGTACATTTGTTTTGTTTTATTGCATCATCTAGTCTGTCTGCTATTGCTGTTGCATTCCACCTTCATTAGTTCCTCCCTTGCTCCTTATTTTCCATCCTTCACTTCTTTCAAGTCTTCATCCCTTTTTACCGGACTTCCTCTTCTTCTTCCTTCGTCACCTGTGTTCTTCTTCCTCCCCCTTATTTGATCTTTATCTCCCCTTAGCCCCTTTTACTTCCAACTTTTATTCCTCCATTTTTTCCTCTCCATCTTTTCCCTCACTTTCTCCTCCTCACTGCTTCCACCTGCCATCTCTTCCATGTTTACATCCTCTAGTGTCAGACCTCATGTATATGTTTGGACTTGCGGTCTCTTAAGGATGTTGCTTCCCTGTTAACACTGATGTGCCAAACACACACACACACACACACACAGAAGTACATGCATAAATTCACTAATATTCCAATACACACACTTGCAAAAACACACACACACAGAGTTCACGCAGCGCCAACACTTTTTAAGGTCTGGTGTTCTTTGAAGTTAACACAAGCCTGATTGATGTGTGTGCACAAAGAGAGCGAGAACATCAAGAGCAGGTGAGTACTGTACATGTATACTGATGTGTATGTGCATTTATTTGGTATGAGTATGACATGTGTGTGTAGCCAAACTAACTTTCAGAAGACAAGAAACAAATATACTACTGTAGAAATGAACTTACTGGTTTATTTTAATAACAATAGATGCTAAAACGCTTGCCAGCTGAGACATCATGCGATAGGACCTGATCACGCAGAGATGTGTTGCTAAAATATCTTGAAGAAGTGCATGAAAGTGTAAACAAATTGAAGGAGAAGATTGTATCGTATTGCATACATTGGGATAAACTCCAGTTAGTAGTTTGCCCCTGACGTTGACAGTTTGTTTCCGAGCAACACTGGCTCTTAGATGTCAGTTAACTGTTGCCATGGGAAACACTGCTAAAGCTATAGGCTTTGACAGCATTTTCCCAAATATGTATAAAATGATATGCACAATACCAAGCCTGTCAGTTTGGCTGAATTGGTCTGATTGTTGAATCATGTATTTGTGTTATGTCATTAAAATCATGTTTTATTGTAGTTTATCTGTTACTTAAGAGTTGGTGAAGATCCAAGAGAAGAGCAGAACTTTCTTGATAGAGAGAGAGAGGAAAAGAAAAAAAAAACGTTCAAAAGATAAATGCCCCATCTTTGTCTCCCGTTGCCAAGGTAACTGGACGATCGTTAAGCCGTTAAGTCCTCCAACCGCGGTTACCCTGACAATAGGTGTGTGTGTGTGGTGTGTGTGTGTGTGTGTGTGTGTGTGTGTGTGTGTGTGTGTGTGTGTGTGTGTGTGTGTGTGTGTGTGTGTGTGTGTGTGTGTGTGTGTGTGTGTGTGTGTGTGTGTGTGTGTGTGTGGTAAGAAAGGTCACATGTTTGATGTCATCTCGTCTGCCTCCATCAGTGTCCCACTGTGAAGAAATATGTATTTCCCCCTTCTTCCTCCTCCTCTTCCTCCTCCTCTTCTTCCTCCAGTCAGTTTGTGTCGCAGTGCTGCCTTCCTGTGGCCAAACCTGCCTACTGCAACTGAAGATTTAAAATTCTAAAAATAACTCCTTTAGTGCCAAAGAGTAAATCCTCCTAAATGACAAAATCACTGATTGTGTTGTGACTAGAATTCACATGTTTCTGAAGCACGACATGTTCTGTTCAGAGAGCCGTAGATCAGTTTTTAAATTGTTTGTCAGCAACTATTCAAGTATGTCTCGCTTTGCATATGCCAAGTAAGTTTTGTAACTTCTGGGTTTACTTGGTTATGTGGCCCACTGAACAGACGCAGAAGTGTTTCTCCCCATTGATATTCACAGATTATTGACAAGCTCCACAACCCCACTTTTAGTAAAACAGTAAATCAAAGTCGTTTGCGTTTTTAAACTACATTTTCGGGATTGTTGGTCAACAAATTAAAAAGGGTTAACAACACATAACTATTTTTTAAGTCAATCACCTGAAATTATGTAGCGAACATGAGTACAGTGCAGAGAGAGAATGGGCCTTATCAGTCTCTGGTGGAGTTTCCTCTCGGACAGGAAGTGAGCTTCCTCAGCTTCCTGTTCCCTTCTCTTTTGTGTGTGTGTGTGTGTGTGTGTGTGTGTGTGTGTGTGTGTGTGTGTGTGTGTGTGTGTGTGTGTGTGTGTGTGTGTGTGTGTGTCTGTGTGTGTGTTGCCCCAGGAGAGGTCTCAAAAGAACAATCAGTGTAGAAACAGAAAGAACAAGAATGAAGCAGACGAGACGGAGGCTTAAATAACATGATTGGAGAGAGACGGAGACACAGAAGACACAATGGAAAAACAAACTGAGAGACAGACCCAAAGACATCAAAAGGCAAATTGAAACAAAATAAATACATTCAGGAAGAGAGTGAGCAGTTACAGGACTCATCTTACCCAGAGGGGAGACCAAACCGTGATGGACTATGAACCCAAGAAATCCAAGAAGGTACACTTTCTTCTGTTCTGTCTCAGCATTTTCCACTTTTCCATCATTTGGAAGTGGGTGACTTGTTCTTAAACTTTCTCCAGAGGAAGTCTAGTCCGATTTCATCATCCCACTGCACATTGGGATTGTATTATTTTGAAGCAGTAGATGTTTAGATGTTACTGTAACTTAGGATAAACCAATCAAGCTAGAGTAGATGCACACAGTGGATTATTTAACAGTTTCACTGTAATTGACCCTAACCTATCAAGAAATCCTATGTAAAAAAATAAAATGAGCTTAAGGTATTTTAAAACATTTTGTGGCAAAATCTGTTAATTGAAATGCATCCTGTTGGCATGTGTGTTCACTTGTGAGGGTGATTTAAATCTGTGTGAATCTTTTGCGTTGCGTTTTGGTAAACTATGAGATTCAAATGAGTAGTCTTGACCAATAGTAAACTCTTCTTGGCTGTGGTGACCTTTGAAGGAACCAGAGCTAATGCAAACATAATCATTTGTTCAAAGTACAAATGTTTTTCTTAAAAATGATTTCCCAAGCCATGTTTTCTTACCTGACCTGACATGGTTTCTGCATGATGACGTACACATGCAGCATACTGCACATGCTGTACTACAGTATTACCGATGATAACCTTAAATGTGGTCAGCTTGCTTCAAGTTTTGAGAAGCAGACACATAACATCTAAAAGAAAAACCTTTATTAAATAGGGAGAACAATTGTAAGTTATACAAAGAAGAAGAGAAAGCAAACACGGCAGTATTAACTAGCTCTACAGCAACTTATTTGACATGCGCAGGTTGTTACAATAATTCATCACAAAATCCAATTAAATACCTCTTTCTGTTTCAAAAACCTCACAGGAACGAGAGGAAGAGCAAAACTCATTAAAAATATTTTCTGTCCTACATTTAAATTCAGCTGAGTCCAGAGATGTTCATCAGAAAGCAGCCTCGTTTTGAGAAATCTGCCCTTGTTCTTCAAAAAGAAAGACAAGACACAGTTTAAATTCCATAACAAACTAATTTCCTCTTTTTATTCAGTGTGTGTATGTGTGATAATGTCCATTCGCCTCATTCCCTCCAGCCACAGTTAATTAATGTGTGATTGCGTGTGTCAGTCAGCAGGTGTCTAACAGTGTGTGCTGTGTTGACAGTGCGTCTCAGCAGGGAGCTGTCAGAGATCACTGCTCACCTGTCAATCACTCTACGAACAGCCGAGGGGACGTGCTGCAGTAACACACACACAAACACACACACACACACACACACACACACACACACATACACACACACACACACACACACACTCACACACTCACACACTGAGTCATGTGTGCCATACAAATCAATTCAACATTTTGAATGATGTTCTAGTTTAAATTCAACCCAAAACACCCTTTCCGAGACTGCTGGAAAGTTAAAGCCAGAATACTAAAGTGTGTAAACAGTATATTAATAATTTAGTAACTTTAGGAGAGTTACAATCAGTGAAACTTAACATTTAAAGGGGCCTATTATGCTACATTTTAGTTGGATATTTTTATTCTGGGTTTCTGGTAGAACACACACTACACAGATAATTGTAAGAAAATTATGACAGGAGTTGTTGTGTAAAAGTACATTTCCACACACACATTTCACCTCTACAGTACATTGATTTAGTTTATTTCGCCAGATGTTTTATATGTGTTAAGTAAGGGCATGTTACTGAAATGTCACTTCCATTAACTTCTTTGATATTGAACCTCTGGAGTAATTCATTCCCTGCACCACAAAGGAGACAAAGCAAGTGTGCGTGGTTGCCTTCTACTTACTGTGAAATATATTACTTTGAACCAAAGTATTGGATCCACCAAATCATCTGTTTATCTTATATATCTAAATATCGTCTTATCCTATCTTCCACTATGTCCCCAAGTCTATCTCTTCTTCTCTCTCTCCTCAGAGCTTTGTCTCTCCTATTAAGCGGCTTGTCTGGTCAAAATCTGGTCGCAGGCAGCTGGATCGAGGCAGCATTTACCGGCGCCCGCTGCACACCGTCCCTCTTTACCCCCCCGATTACCTCATCCACCCTGAGAGGCTGATCTTCGACTACATCGAGAAGGAGGTCAAGGTAGAACCTGAGATACGCAACGATAAATCAGAACATACTTAAGTCATTATTGACCTCCTGATAATTGCTTCACCTTTGTCCTCTCAATTCAGTTCCTCGGTCACCTGACCTGGGTGTCGGTTTCACTGAACCCCTCGAGCCGAGACGAGCTGCTGCAACTCCTCGACACAGCCAGGGTCAGTAATCAATTATTTATCTGTAAATAATCACTGCTGAGGTAAGGGATCAATAATTAAACACCTCTGAGTGATGGACAGCATCTATAACTTAAAACAGCCGGGGTTAGCAATCAATCAATTATCAATAACTAACCACTGATCTATAACTAATAAATAAAATCAATGGATATTAACTAATATAAACCAAGTAATCAATATGCTCTTACTTATCCCCTTTATTTAACCTTAATCACTGACGTTAATCATGACAAGCCAATTTAAAATCACTGTTTAATCACTGTTGTATTAGTGCACCTATTCATAGACCTACCTTCATTTTTGGTGTAAGTAATCAATAATATATGGCCTATATGCTATCTGACATTAATCATTAACCAGTTTATAAATAGTCACTGGTGATGTTGGTGATGAATACACAATATATTCCAGAATTAATAAGAAATAATTGTACCTGTTAGCAGCTAAAGTAAGGGATCATTCATGTATTATAAGCTTAGCTCTCCCAGGCTTAATGATCAATAAGCAGTGATTGACAACAGCCAAGGTTAGTTAAACAGTAATTTAATTCAATTCAAGGTTTTATTTTCATGTGCACATTAGCTACAGTGTAGATATGGCAATGAAAAACGTATGTCACTGCTCCTCCAACAGTGCAAAATGAGGATATAAAACAAATAAAACAGATAAAATAGTGTAAGAGAATATGTCAGCACTCATCAAAACTCAAGTGAGACCATGTCAAAGTGTGATTTAACAAAGTCTTCCTTAATCAACAATCTAAGACCATGTGTCTCTGTGTGTTGGTCAGTAGCAGTTGAAGGTGCTGCCGTTGAAGACCAGCGTGGATCAGGACTGTATTCTGAGTCTGTCTGCGCGCTGTCTGCTGCTGACGTGGAGAGACAACGAGAAGCTGATGGTGAGGATTCCCACACATGAGATCGCTGCTGCCTCCTACCTGAGGGACGACGCGCTGCACCTGCTGGTCCTCAAGACAGGTGAGGACCATACATGCCCCTTTCCCACCAAAGCACAGCCTGGGCCAGTTCGGAGTTAGTGCCCGATCAAGCACCGGTTCTTCCTGTTTCCACCGCCATGGGCCGGCTGTTGGCCCCAAAACAATGGCCTCACTTGACTGCCCGTTAAGAACCGAGAACCAAATACGTCACGCTTACGTCGGAGGCAGGGGCAGGGGCAAAGTGAACAGAACAACAAACAGTCAGATGAGCTTCAGTTGCTATGCTAACATCATCTGTCTAAAACCAGAGAGACTTTAATAACGGCGTTTTGATGCCAAAAAGCGCCAATTCAGACTGAAACACATTGACTTATGGGGAGGGGGGGATATGCATTAGTTGCTTGTGTGACAGTCAATGGACACACCTGAGGACCAATCACTGTCACTTACTTTATGATCAATGGGCACTCAGGATGTTTTAACAATGCTTCTACTTCTCAGCTGACAAAAAAGAATGTAGCCAAATCTTGAATAAGTTTGACACAATATTTTAGTGTATAACTTTGACTATAGACAGGGGTATATTCTTACTTAATTACAACATGAAGGTAATTTGGCTAACGGAAAGTAGTTTTCTTTATCCTGATTCACCAATGAGTTTCTAAAACGCAACACTTAAATTGCCCCCGTCCAAATGCTGAAACGGACAGAGACGCCATCATTACTCTTTGCTCTGATATGACTAGCATCTTGCTAGTAATGCCCCTAGAATGCCCCTTGCCTTTTGTAGAGTAATGCTAGTTTTCTGTAGTAAGCTATAGTCAACTCTGCATGCTAACTTTTGCTTACAGACTCTTGGGGTCGGGAGGCCTGATAATTTATTCCGGCAAATTACTCAGACCTACTAATTGACCTAACAGAAGTTATTGAGTCTATGTAAGTTTACTGTTTGGCTCAGATCCACCAACGATCAGCAAGGTCTCACCTCTATTAACTCCTGAAGAACCAGGTTCAATGAACTGCTGTTTCAATTCAGACGACCCGCTAAATCTGTTTAAGCGATCCCGAAGGATTTTGGTATCAGTAATGAGGTGTGGCCCTACCTAAGTGTGTGTGGCAAATGTGCATTTATTACCCTTCAAGCAGGAGAGGAGAGCGCAGATGTCTTTTAAGTTGTCCCAATCCAAAAGGTGGGATCAGTTTATTTGAAGAAAAATGGTCCACACTTGTACAGGATGTGTACCTTCTCTCGTTACAACATTACAATCATACTAAACATATCATACTGTGGTCATTTTCTAATCTGAAACCTTAATTCATAGTTTAGACATTAAAGTCTTCCAACATAATCCAAAGGAATCTCCTCACGGATCGGCGGGACTAACATTCACACCTATAGCCTGAAAACATTCAGAGGCAGTTCCTCGTAAACGGTCAGTGGAATCTAACAGTTTCAAACTTTCATCCAACAATTTACTCAGCATTCAATAAACAGAAATGTAAGCAATATTTACCAAGTTTGAGAGAACCTTACCGAGGGAAAACCCAGCTCTCAGGGAGAGAGCTTTACCGGGAGAGAGCATACCTGGGGAACCCCCCTCTCTCTCTCTCTCTTTCTCTCTCTCTCTCTCTCTCTCTCTCTCTCTCTCTCTCTCTCTCTCTCTCTCTCTCTCTCTCTCTCTCTCTCTCTCTCTCTCTCTCTCGTTTGCTCCCTCTGTACTAGTGTTTTTATGCTCGAAACAGGACAGAAAAACCTAAAGACCCCTCCTCCATACCCATATTTGTGGAAACTGGGCATGGCCTCTAGTGTGCAGGACTTGCAAAATAGTATTCTCGGCTATGGCACAAACACCTTTTTGGGGCCTCAGTCTTTCTCCAAAAAGTCAGGAGTCCCCCTCCCTGTGTACTGCTGTGAGGGAAGAGGGAAGAAACTGTCTCTCCTCTCTTATCAGTGACACCTCATAAACCATAATAGGTCTTACACTCAACTTAACAAACCACTTTGTTTATACTGTAAATATAGAAAATCATAAAATATGAAGCATTTTCATTTTGGGTTGTATTTGATTATAATTAACTTTCGTTTTAAGTATTCAACCTAATATGGAGATCTCAACAAGACACAAAGTTCAGTCCATTCCTTAATCTTTGCTCTATGTCTTTTGGTTTTAAAGGACAAAGAAAAAAGAAACCAATTGTTATTGAGGTGCTGTTTTAGCAAACGGTTAATTTATGGATTCTTCCAGGTTTTTTTTGGTTTTTTTACAGGCAAAGTTTGGTAGGATGGACTAGCTTTTCTATGACAAAGATAGTGTTCACATGTTGAACCCTCGTCCCACAGGTCTGAACGTGGACACAGTGGTTGCTGGGGACGACAGCCTGGACAGGAAAAAGCCAACGGGCGTAGACAGCCGACGTCAAACCATGAGCTCCAACGCGGACCCTCGACCTGCAGGGGGCACGATGGAGCGACGGCACACAATCTGTGGAGTCGACTGGAGGCCTTCATTATCCAGAAGTAACCACGACAAAAATCCAAATGTGGAGAGGGGGGGTGGAGGAGGTGGAGGAGAAAGAGGAGGAGGAGGAGGAGGAGGAGAAAGAGGAGGAGAAAGAGGAGGAGGAGGAAGAGGAGAAGAGGAGGGAGGAGTGAGAAAGAGGAGGAGGAGGCAGTTTAGAGAGGAAGAGAGTGGGAGGTAGCTGGGAGAGGAGGCAGCAGACACGTAAAACAGGAGGGAGTTTAGAGAACCGCAGAGCAAGACCCATGAGCGGGAGCTGGGGAGTGGGAGTAGGAGGTGGAGGTGGAGGTAGCTGGGAGAAAAGGCATGGGGGAGGAGGAGGTGGGAGCTGGGAGAGGAGGGGAGGTGGTGCCGGGGGGAGCTGGGAGCGACGGCAGGCCTGCACAGGAAGCTGGGAAAGGGGGAAGAGCTATGGCAGCTGGGAGAGGAGGAACCATAACCCGCTGGAGCCGACGCCCTGCCCAGACGCCTACTGCAACCTGGTCATCCTGGCCGTGGAGAACAGGGTGGGGCACTGCTGATGAAAGTCACTTTACACAAGAACTTCATACCTCACTTTATTACTCAATTGTATTCAAGTTCCTGCTAAAAATGATGTTCCATGACCTTAAATTTGCTGTCAATACATTTCAGTAAGCTGAGGAATAGTACATTTTGCGAAATTTGCCTTATGTGTTCGATGAGATCATCCATAACTTTAACTCATATTTGTGTGTTAAGTATAGACCTATAGCTGGACCGGTAGACATTTAGCCTATAGCATAAAAACTGAAAATAAGGGAAAGAAAGCCCACTGAACTTTATCTTTTGACTTTAAAGGGGACCTATCATGCAAAATGCACTTTTGTACGTCTTTTATACATGAATATGTGTCCCCGGTGTTCCAGGGAACTCACCAAGTGTCAGAAAACACAACCCTCTCTATTTTCCTCCATACCCAAATCTCTAAAAAAAGGGGCTGCAACGGATCTGATAAAAACTGATCCAGATTTGAACACTGTCCTGACGTCAGGACGGTGGCGCTACGGCTATTGGGCCAACTCCACCAATCAGGAGGAGACAGCCACGGCCATTGCCGTTCGAAAGCGCTGGAGACGCTGTAGTACATATGCCAGGCCAGTAGATGGTGCTGTTCTCACAGAATCTGCCCTTGCAAAAACAGAGCTAAAAATGTCAAATTGAGCAAAATGAGGCATGGCTAAAATGCATGATCTGTTTGGTATTTTGAAAAACAAAAAGTATAAAATTTGCCTTATATAGGTATGGTCCTACACTATATTATTCAAATATAGCATGATAGGTCCACTTTAAGTAAAGATAATGGGAATGTCGCTATTGGTATTAGTTTTGTAAAAGAAGGGGTAATTACCTGTTTGTTGGTGATGCTATATGCAAAGGAAGGGATTACCTCATTGCAACTGATTCTAACTGACAATAATCCATCCAATAGGAGTAAAATGCTGTTCCAAGCAAAAACCACCCATGGAACTGCTGAGTTCATAACATCACTGTGGACATTCGCTGGAGAAAAATAACAACAGTGACAAAACACAGTGGGGTTCACTAATCACTTGGCTCCTTGAAAAGAAGTGGCAATACTTTTAGACACACACAAACACACTTGTACTGAGACTTTGTGTTGTTGCATAACCTGTTGTATCACAACAGAGTAGCTTTGTCATTGTATTTGTGTAAGTGTGTTTCTGTGCGTGCGTGCGTGCGTGCATGCGTGCGTGTTCTTGTCCTCAGAGCAGTAGTTTGTTTGGATTGGCATCTTAAGAGTTTCATTGTTAATTTGGCTTATGCAGGAGCACATGATCACTGTGAGTGTGTGTCTGAGTGTGTGTGCGTGTGCATAGCTTCAGTGGCCAATGTTCCCTTTTGTCTCCCAGACTGCTTGGCTTTAGGGGGTTGCTGGGTAAAATCTCATCACTTATGTGCACTTGAACAAAGGACCAATCCATGCAGGAACTGCAGTGAAGCTTCTCACACAGTAAAACATGTGTAGTTAACTCAGCAGACAAAAGGCTGGTGGAAAATCAGGATTTAATGAAGACATATTCCAGAAGACATAGCTGTTATTGTGATTACTATTGCAGTGGGATGACAAGTCTGTGTGTGTGTTTGTGCAGGAAGCTGCAGAGGAGTACTGCTCTCTGATCTGTCAGATGTTCCAGATCATTTACGGCCATCAGACCATCGAGTGTGTGGACAGAGCCGGCTTTCATCACACAGTGCCGGACCGATACTGGCTGCAGAGGAGTGAGTGACAAGCACAACAAAGAAAGAAATATACCTTTGGGGACTTCAACATTCGCTCTTTTCTTTTAATTGTCATGTACTATGAGTTATTTTCATTTTATGGGAGCTCTTTGCTAGACATTTCTTTATCTTTTTCAGATAATCTGATTAGAGGTTTTGTTAAGTTCCAGTTTCTTTTGCTCATGTTAGCTTAAAGACTAAGACGTCTGTTGAGCGTAACACATACTACATTAGCATCCTGACCTACAACTACACGTCATCAAGTCATACATTGTTTTTGTCTCCAACATCAATGTGTGCCAAAGTCCTAAAATTCAACAATAACATCACATGTTCTGAAAAGGTTGTATTTTTACTCCACTACTGGTAGGCTTCTATGGTCAGCTTCTTTATATCATCCGTATGTTGTTTGCATCGACATTTAATGAACATTGCAGTGTCTATATGGATGATAAAAAGGCTTAAGACTAAAGCTAACTTGATCAGAAGGTGTAAAGTATAAAGGAAATGCTTTGTTTGTCTGTGTTTGTCTCTGTGCAGGTGACAGCTGTCTCACTGACGTGTCCTACAGTTATGATCCAGAGTTTAGCTGCTGCAGCTCATAGTGAGTAACATCCATATTCAGATGAATACAGTGTCTTCAATTCATGAAATGTCCTAAATATTTGGACATTTCCATCTTAAAATGCAGTCCTGAAAACTTTAACTACATTGGATAATCCAGTTACTTCTCTTGTCATTAGTTTGGTTGTAATACCCAAACAGAGAATGTTTATTAAGTAAAGCAGAAGGCCCATTTTTTTGTGATTAAGGAGGAATGTATGGAACTTCACAAAAAAAGCCCAGTGGACTATTTGATAACTGTATGATTAATTAAATTGAATTATTTTGTTGACATTGAACAGGTACAATGTCCACAGGCAATGAATATTCAAAATCAAATATTGAGGACAGTTAATTGACACATAGCACAGTCCATATTGACTAAGTGACTGACATTTGATCACCATCAATCCATTACTGTTTCAATGTTAGGTGATACTGATAGTTCTTTGATAATGATGTTATACCACCACCTTTCTGCCTCTCTCTCAGTGATGGTTCCCAGGAGGCCTTTGAGCCGTACTACAGTGAGACATACAGTGAGAGCTCGTCTCTCTCGCTGCAGGACTCCCATCGCAGTCTCGCTGAAGCCAGTGACGGAGGAGACACTAACCCCGCCCTGCTGCTGATGCAGGAGTACATGATCACTGTGAGTGTGTGTGCGTGTGCATTGCTTCAGTGGCCAAAGTTCCCTTTTGTCTCCCACAACAAAGGAAAAACAAGCGAAGTACATTTCGCTCCAAGGATTAATTTATGATAAAAATATATATATATTTGAAGGTAATATACTAACACAGTGTGGCTTTAAATGCAGCTTGCAGCTATCTTATATTTGTCAATTTTAATAATAGATTTTTTTGCCTTTTAGCTACTACAGTAGAGTTAATGGGCCATTTCCTGTAACTAAAGTAGGTTTCATAGGCAGGGACAGATGGCAAGCTACATTGTGTTTATTGACTGTTTGAATGAAAAAAAAGAAAAATATATTGACTTTGTGTTTGTGTGTGTGTGTGTGTGTGTGTGTGTGTGTGTGTGTGTGTGTGTGTGTGTGTGTGTGTGTGGTGTGTGTGTGTGTGTGTGTGTGTGTGTGTGTATGTGTGTGTGTGTGTGTGTGTGTGTGTGTGTGTGTGTGTGTGTGTGTGTGTGTGTGTGTGTGTGTGTGTGTGTGTGTGTGTGTGTTAGCTGCGTAATAAGCTGAGTCCTGTGGAGTTGCAGCACTTTGCGGTATTGCTGAGAGAATATAGGCTGGGATCAAACATCGATCACTTCTGCTCCGAGCTGCTACAACTTTACGGAGACAACCGCAAGTTCCTGCTGATGGGTGAGAAACACACGCACACACACACACACACACACACACACACACACACACACAAACACACAAACACACACACACACACACACACAGAGCTCATTAACTGACTGCAAATCAGCAGAAAGCCACAACCTGCTTATTATATTATTTATTTGGTTGTGTTGCAGAGATAAGAATGAGTGTGAACTATATATATTATTGATGTGTGTGTGTGTGTGTGTGTGTGTGTGTGTGTGTGTGTGTGTGTGTGTGTGTGTGTGTGTGTGTGTGTGTGTGTGTGTGTGTGTGTGTGTGTGTGTGTGTACGTGTGTTTATGTGTGGATGAGTTTACTGTATGTGTGTTTACCGCAACAAATTCAGCTCTGACCCACTTCCTCTGTGGAAACCACAACTTCCTGTTTGTGAGTGAGCGTGAGAGAGAGCGGTTGATGTGTGGTGTTTATCTCCACACACCCTGTTAATGCCCAGTGTGCCGGTGTGTAATAATGATTTTAAACGGTTGGGATGAAAATAAAAAACAGCAAAGTCACTGAGCAGGTTTTGAAGCACAGAGACTTCATGATTCTCATTTCATAAGTTTATGTGTGTGGAAATGTATGACTTATTATGCTTTTTTTGGGTTCCCTTTCCTGTTGTGTGTTAAAAAGGATTTTGTGCATGTAAATGGTCTGCAAAGGCTAACATTTCTGTCTCCGACAATATCATGGTATTTATATAGCGCACTTCCTGGTGTTCAACGCGCTTTACATTACATTACATTACATGTTACTTATTAGACACTTTTATCAAAAGCGACGTACAATACTGTGGTGTGGACAATACCCACAGGAGCAATTTCAAATACTACTAGGAGTCAGCAATGTCCAAATCCTAAAAACAGTATTGTGCATCCCTTGGCACACATGGTCTTCTTAGAGCAGATTCCAAAACAAAAAAGAACCTTCAGATGTTATTCTCTGTCTCTGTCCTTCAGGTCCCTACAACAAGGCATTGTGCTCCCATCAGTTTGTACAACTGATGGGAGTTACACAATTGATTGAATGTCATGTTTGGAATATCACTACGTTTTTTATAAGTTTAAGATTATATTACCTTTTAGTACCGATATACAAAATGAAGTTGAGTCTTTAACCATAATGCAGTAAAGTGCAGAGAAAAGTACAGAATGAGATAAGTAATAATAAATATATGAATGAATAAATACTGAAAATAAATATCTGACTCTTTATCCCTGTTTTTCCAGGCATGCGTCCCTTCATCCCAGACAAGGACGTCGGGGTGTTAGAGAGTTTCCTGGAGAGCATCGGGATCAGGGAGGGAGGCATTTTAACCGACAGCTTCGGACGCATCAAACGCAGCATGAGCAACACGTCGGCTACGGCCATGAGAGGGTATGTAGGTTAGGATTGGTTGTGATTCGCTATTGAAAGATTTGAGTCTCGGTCATGTTTGGTCTGAGGTCATTTCTACAAACAAACTGCTGTCTCACATTCTATCATGGCTTATCTACATGGTGCACTTTGATGATTTTTTATCAAAAGACAGCACCAACCTAAGGTTTGAGGACAGTACAGTGCATTTATATTTAAAGCCAAAATAAAAATGTGACCACTGTGATTTACAGCTATTTATGCTTTATTTGTATTTATGTGTTGTGAAAGGACAAATACACATATGTTTGTCTTTTAACATAGTGGTTAAAGTTGCTGTGTCCTCACAATGTAATGTTCTAGCCATTAACAATTTACAAAAAACGATGAATTCTGATTGCTTTATCGCCCTTTTTGTAGCGACATTATCGTGTTAGTCAAAAGCTTTTGGTTTCGTTTTTTGGGGGACATTATGTTTTATGTTGGGTTATTGTTAAATGATAGCTTTTGGTCCTGATTTCTCTTACTTTGATGCAAAAGCCCTCTCACACCTGGACATTTCATTATTTAGTAGTTAGAGATGGGAGATACAATTGAGATAATTGTTTTTTTTTGTTCCCTCAGCATGTATGATAACGGCTCTCTGGCTTCAGGATCTCAGGAATTCAACCGACGCATTACAGACATGACCCACGACATCCAGGCGCTCGGCTTCCAGGACACACACGCAGACATCGAGGAGGAAGATTACTACCTCTGATGGAGGGAGACTCTGATTCCCAGTCAAATTCAGACCGTTTTCAAACTCTCTGCAAGATCAGGGCAGCTCGTGTTCTCTATTGATAGGCAATAAACTGTAAATATAAATTGTCTGACAGTTGCACCCTTCTTAATGTTGATGTTTAATATGCAATTCCTGCTCCATGCACAGAAAATACAGTACGACAAAGAAAACTAAGCTGTATTTATTAAATTAAACTCAATTAATACAAAAACAGTTCATTTTCAATGTATCAGACAGTAGGGGCAGATTATATGATTTCACACATAAACCATGATTTAATTAAGTGTTTACAAATCTGCTACAATACGTTATGTTCTGTAGTGGTTGTAATACCTAAAACTGTCCACATGGAGGCAATTAAAGACAAAATATCTATAACCCTCTTTGCTACTGAGTAAAAAGCTCCATTGTGAGGCAGAATTTATAGTTCAAAAAGGATTTAAATAAATGTTTGGAACCAGATACATGGATATATACAGTAGATAGATAGATAGATAGATAGATAGATAGATAGATAGATAGATAGATAGATAGATAGATAGATAGATAGATAGATAGATAGATAGATAGATAGATAGATGTGTTAGTAATGATAAAAAAATTAAAAAAAAACATCTAAAATATCTCCCTCCCTCTGTGTCCCCCGCTCTCTCTCCCAATGCTGCATTGACCCGTTATCCTGGCGTCAGCATCACCACTTCCCATGGTGCACTGCTTCTGTGTTGCCCCCCGGTCTTCTCCTCTGCCAGCTTAACGGAACATCACAGAGGGAGAGTCAGTTCCCCCATGGGCTTCACCCGAGTCATCTGAGTCTGCTCGCCCTCATTATGTAACAGAGTCACTAGACGCTGTGTGCATTTGATTTTAAATGAACTCATCATGAACAGAGTACAATTGACCAGCAGCAGACACATCACTGTAAACATGCCAGAGGTTTTTACAAAGAGCTGGTTTTAACCTTGTGACCTGGATATCTGGATCACACGCACTGCAAATAAATTATTTTTTAAAAACTGTTACGTAAATTATATATATCATGGAGAGTCCTCGTTGAAACGATAGAAAGAGGCAGTAAGATAACGAGATACAACCCATACATTCAAAATACTAAATATGTTTTGACAGAATTGTTTTTGTCAGGCTGCAGCCATTTGTTGATTCAAGGTCAAAGGTTGTGCGTGTGTGTGTGATTAGATCAACTCAAAAACGTTACTAGAAAAGCTTTATTATGGAGCTTTTTATATCAACAGCAAGGTTGGGGTTTCTGGTCTGGTTAATTGGTGACTATAAATTGCCCGTAGGTGTAAAGTGAGTGTGTATTGTTGTCTGTCATCTCTTTTATTGACTGGCAACGTGTTAAATCTGAATTTGGGGAAGTGGAAAAAACTGTACAATTATTCTCAACTGAGTTATCTCTTTAACTATCCACATTTAGGCTGTTCTATGCAATTTTCTTTTGATAAGCAATGCTATTTTTTTCTTCAATTAGCCAAGCCTCCCCTGAAATAGTTTGGAGCCTGAATACAAAGCCCCTCCTCCCTCTTTGCCATACTCTACATGATGAGCTGCAGATAATGGAGGGAGGGATGGTTTAAACATACATGTAGCATCATGCACATTTTAAAAAATATATACTTTCCAGTGTGATCAAACTGAATTGTATGATGTCACTTTGGGATTTCCAGTTGTGGTTAAATGTCAGGCTCTGCAGGTGAAAGGGTTCAGGAGGTGAATGTAAAGTATCAAAACTCAGTTTACTGGGATTACAGTGATGTGTGTACAGGTTATATTTAGCAGGATCACAGTCAGACTTCACAGTGTGGTCGTCCTGCTGAGCTGGCCAGGTGCCACTCAGCCTAGTGTCACTGCAGGGATCAGTGCAGAGAAAATCCACTGAGGGTTCAACAAAGCTGCTGTCAGTTAGAGCTGCAGTGATGGCTCAGGTAATGCATTGGCAGCCCTGATACTGCAGGACTTACAGAGGCACTGCGCAAAACAGAACAATTATATTAACACTACTTCAAAGAATACAAATATAGTCACAAATCTAAAGAATAATACAATTCATAATGAATCACAATGACCTTTTCCAATTGCCTGGCTTTCCTCTTGCAATTCATACAGGCCAAACCTAATCGCAGTTGGTTATCCAACTAGGTAACATGTGTCTACTTCAATCCCTGATAGTGGTAAAGTGGTAAAAACAAAACATGGCTTCCCCATGTAAAAAAAATGTTGGCCATATAATGGTAGGCTATTTTTGAAACATAGTTTTCAGCTTTAAAAAAATGTTTTTTATTGCTTTTAAAATTGTTAAAAGAAAATGTAATTTTTCAAATACATTTTAAAGATATTTTTATTCAATAAATAAAATATGTTATGATTGTACGTTTTACTATGTATGATCAGTGTGTTTACATTTTTGTACATTTTTGTTACAGCGTGTCAAATATCTAGCTTCATACGTCATCACGTTCCCCTCCTGGACCAATGAGATCTGAGGAGGGCGTAACGTGGTCTCGCCGGGTAAAAGAGATTTGACAGTTGCAGGTCTGGAGCTCATCCTCCACTTGACTCTTCCTCCGTGGGACGGAGACCATGGCGGCGGCTGCTGCCTGTCCCCAGCACAGCGCTGCGATGATGGCCAAAAAGACGCACGGTAACAGGGAACACAGTCGGAGGAACCGGGAGAACTCTCGTCGGAGACAAGCAGCTCTTTTATTTCTTAGTAACATCTCACTGGACGGACGGCCAGTGCATAGTAATTCAGACGAGCATGGAGGAAGCCACAAAGAGACCGACTTTGAGGGAGCGGACTCGGCGGCCGGGTTGTGCCCGGAGATGGGCGGCCGATACGGAACATTCTCCAGGTTGGCAACGGCAGTGAGCTGCGGGAACGTCAATCCCTCCATGGGACCGAGGACAGGACTATTGAACATACCGCCTATCCTAGTCCTGCCGTCGGACTCGGGGTTTAACGATGTGGGGAGCGCGGAGGGGCTGCTGCAGTGCCGCAGAGGCTCGGTCCCCTCGGCCGGGAACCTGCTCCCCTCGCCTGGGAACCTGCTCTCCGCGTCCCCGTCCAACGCCAGCCTCCTGCCGTCGCCTCTGGGACCGCGGAAGTCTTCCACACTTCTGTCGGTACAAAGCTGTAACTCTGTGTCCTCAGAGCCGCGACAGAGGTGAGTGACACACGGCTTTGTTTATGTCAATTTATCTGGTGGGCTTGACTGCCGAGTCAGACTGTTGTTTCGTTGAACTTTGTTTACACCTTCTAACAGCAGCTTGAATGTCTCAATGTTAACTAAACCAATCTGCATAATGAGTTTTGACTTTCGATACTTTAAGTATTGATGCCTATGCTTTTGTACTTTTACTTGAGTAACATTTTAATTGCAGGACTTTTACTTGTAACAGAGTATTCATACACTCTGGTATTTCTACTTTTACTTAAATACAAGATCTGAGTACTTTCCCGTCTTAAAACAGCTGTGATGAGTTTGAGTGTCTCAATGTTACCTAAAAGTTTCTGGTATAGACAGTTGTCATCAGCTCCCACATCACCTGTCACTTGGCAGTGGTGTAAGAAGTACTCAGATGTTTCACTTTTTTGTAAAAGTAGAAACACTAATACTCCATTACACGTATAAGTCCTGAATTGAAAATGGTACTTGAGTTGAAGTACAGGTAGCATAAAGGAAATATGCAAGTAGAATGTCAAAATAGTACTTAAGTACAATACTTGTGTTAAAGTACCTTGTGACATTCCTCCACTGTCTAAAGTTAGACTGGGTCAGGGTGGTCAGGTCTAATTTAACTCTGGTTCAGAGAATAACACTCCTATTCACGTGCTGAGGGACGGTTTGACACTTGATTGAATGCTTTAAATCAAGGTGCCTTTTGAGATCAAGGATCATTATCAAACCATAGTCGGGTTTAATTAAGTGTAGTTAAATAGTGTCCGTCGTCGTGATTCAACATTTCTATAAAATAATACCTTTTCTTATCCTCTATATTACCCACTCTTACTGTTGCCTGCCTGCCTGGAGCTAAAAGGGAACATCTACTGTAGGCATGTCTTACAGCCCACACAAGCTCAGGTCATGAAGGCTAAGGGCAAGATCTTAGGAATTACATGACTAATGCCAGTTGAATTTTTGGGAGGTAGGTGGAGTGGATTATTAAAGGTTCAGGATCACCTTTATAGCTACAAGAAAAATATTCATGGCAGCTTTTGTAAATGGGGATCTTGTTGCCCTGTGCTCATTTCCCTCGATGCTGCTGTCCTTGCAGAATGAAACAGTAATTATGGGATAGACACACCGAACGGTTAAACCACTGGGTATAGCCTCGTGGAATAAAGACTTAATTGTGTTTTGAATGTAAAACACCGTTATTACAGTGCTGTGCCATTTTCTATGGTCTTGTTCTCTTCTTCGGATCAGACGTTGTCTCGTTTAAAATCATTTGTCTGTTATTTTATTGTGTATTTATTTTAGAAAAAGTCCAACAAACAATTATTTGATTTATTTTATTATGTCGTATTCTTTATTAATCTTTTAGTCTTTAACATGTCTCATTATGTTAGAAAAGTCATCACATTTGAGGAACTATTGACGTTGGCAGTATCATCAAATGTGTCCGATTATTTTAGTGCTCTTTGTTGTAGTCAAATACTTTCATGCATGCATTTCATAACTTACGACTATTGTGTCAATATAGACCAAGAATGGTTTTGTGTTATACACCTCACAGTTATGTGTTGGTGTTTTATATTTCAAATATGACATCTATGCACCATGGTCACTTAAGGCTGTACTGATCATATATCTGCATTTCTTGTTGATTTGTTATACTGATAAAGAGAATATGCATTTTGGCTTATTTCTGTGTTTCATTTAAATGATAATAGTTTACTTGCAGATTCCCCTCTAAGTGTATCTTATAGAAATACATTAAAGTACCATCAGAATGTATAAGATAGTTGGGCTAAACACTATAGCGGTAAAATCCACTTCCCCTCTTTGAAACCACAGCTCAGTTTCGGTTTATTCACAAACAGTTAAAATACCATATTATATGAAATAACAGAGATATTTGGAATTGGACAACCTTATAATCTATCTGAAGCTTGAGATTAGGGGTGCTGAACAAAGCAGATAGTATTTAAAATGTGTGTACTAGATTTATATGTATTATTTTGTAACATTACAACATACACCTAGGAGGGACTAACAAAAAAGTCTCTCAAAGCTTACTACCATAAATGGTCCTAAAACATGTATTTCATCAGTCTAAACATTGCTTGAATAGGTAAGATAAGGAATGGCCTCTTCTGATATCTTAAACATCTATCATCTTTATACAACCAATCGTACTCTCTGTATTAACTTTGAGCCTGGTTGTATATGCAGTCAAAAAGGAAACGCAATTTTTAGAAGTAGCATGCCAGAGTAACTGGTGGCTTGTAGAGGGGAAGTGAACCTGGAGGCGGTTAAAAACCACTAACAGACCAAATGAAATCATCTGTTTTGTGTAGCATACTGTAGTAACCCAGCATGATCTTTTCTTTGGGTGTTTACTGCAGGTTACTTTGTATTTTTTGTGATTAGAAATTCAGGCTAAGATATAAAGATATGAGCTGGCTCAGATCAAAAAGAGGCAACAGAAAAAGAGTATAACACTCATTAATGTTGTATAATAAGTGTGTTAAAATGTGGTTTCGTAATAACAGAGCGTGTGTGTATGGAGCGTAGCCATCTGGCAGGGGTTCAGACTTGCAGTGGTTGTGTGAATGCTGATGGATCAGATTAGTCACCATGTTGGCAGCGTATCAAACCCCGAGAATGTCAGCCCCGCAGAGATAAACACTGCTTAACCTATTTCCACCTAACAACAGGCCGGGTAATTAGCGGCAGTTAAAAGCTCAGCAGTCGGACGGCGGCACCTGTCCTCCGCAGTTCCTGCTGTGAGACTTAATTTTGTCTGGTTAATGTGATGCTACAGTCATTCATGCCAAGGTGGTTATTGTCATTGTTTCTAATGAATGTGGTTCAAAAACGATGTATTGGTTTGTGACAAGGATCATTTTCAGTGTGAGGAACTTCAAAGGTTTTATGAACAGAGCAAATATTGGGTGAGGGCATAACATTTCAGAAAATGCTAAAAAAAAAAACAGTTTCAGTTTTTAATTGACTTGTTTCCTTACATTCCAAAATCCCAAAGATGCTCAATATACAGTGATTTAAATGAAGTAAAAGCAGGATATTATCTTATTTAAGAAACAAGAACCATCGAATGATCGTCATATTTATTTAAGTATAAATAGATTTATATATAAGTCGATTTTTTTACAAAACATCGACTGCATCTTTGCGGACAAAATAAGGAAATGGTGGTTTGGTATATACTGTAGAAATGTAATTGTGGTCAGGAAATATAGGCCGACAACATTGCAGATGTATTAGTTTGACTCACATTAATCACATTCTGGATAACAATCTCAAATATAATGTGCTAATTTCCATAAAACAAGAATATGGTATAAGGACTCAGTTTTGTCATAATTACAGCAGCTGGTTTTCATTGCAATACTTATTTATTAATGTTGAAATACTTTTACTCCAATTTACTTTTGACCCCAGTTCTCTAAGGTGATAAGACTTTCACCAAGACCTAGCTAGCTGCTTGAAATGTGAAGGTGATTTGAGAATGCATTTGAGCTAAAGGTCGTTCTGTGGCTGTTTCCTGTGGTTACTGTGACTGTGACTGCAGTGGCTGAATTTAACAGCAGCCTTCTCCTCACCTACACACTTCCTGGTGTGATGAGTTTGGCCGTCGTCAAATATGATCATCAGTCACGCTCTGTTTAGCCTCTCTGTCTGAAACAAGGCTCAGGGTGTTTCTCAATCGCGAGTAAAGCTGCTCCAGAGCCACTATTTCAAGCATACTACGTCATCGAGTGCCGCCGAAGTACTGTTCCAATCTCCAGCATACTTGGAAATCTACCGAGCCCGGCGTACTCCGTTTGGAGAAATATCGAGGCTGCACATGAGTAGACTCCGCGGTCTTAAAATCCCCACAATGCTTTGCGCACGGACCAATTTCCCCAAATCTGTGATGGAAAATGTAAGGCGGGGCCTCTCATATGACGCACACCTGCACACTTGCTAGCCTGTTCCACTCTTTGTTTTCCGAATGCCAGGAAGTATTCTTGCCTCGCTTCTGAAGCAAGATGCTCGGCAGACAACCAACCAGCTAATCAGCCAGCCAACTGCTTCATTAGCCTACGAATAAACACACACACACACACACGCACACACACACGCACCGCACACCGTTGAGCTGTTTAACTGATGCTCTTGTGAGAGTGAGAACACTTGGCTGGTAAAGTACTCAAATTGGCTCAAAACTTCGAGCCTCCGCGCCTCGAGTAAATCTGCATCTTTTGCTTTTTTGCACTTTAAAATGAGGTCAACAAATTACCATCAGTTTCAAGGCTGTTTAGTTTACAAGAAGCCCGTGATGTTATGTTATGTAATGGTTTCATGTGTGAGAGAAGTGCTACAAAGAGACAGCAGAGAATTCACAGTTCATGAGACATGCAGGATGTTCTTATTCACTGTTGCACTCGGGTATTTTCGGGACAATGTGATGTTTCAACTAAACTGAACAGTGAACATTTAGACGTTTCAAGAAGAAGACAAGAGCCTCAAACACTTTAAAGGACACACACATGCACTTTGGTACTGCATTTTGGGTCAGGAGAGAACATCTTAGTGTCAACACAAGACAATGAGATACACAATTGAGTTGCATTGGCCACTTTTCATGTTTGAAAATCAAATCTTTAAACGGTAATTATGTTACTTAGTCTGCAGTACTCTGTATCAGAACTGTACCACCTTGTCTGGCGCAGAATAAATTGTAAACATAAAAGTAATACACTATCAAATTGAAAAGAGAAGTACCACAAGCTAACTTAAACTGATTATGAGATGAGCTGTACCAATATCTGTGTTGTGTATTTTTTTACCACATTGACTAGCTGGTCTGTCAAATTAAAAGTGCAGAAGTGTGCGTTGTACAGCATTAGTATGAGCCCCATGGAAACATACTGTTAATATTGAAAGGGCACTGGGGAAGCACAGACCTCCACAAGGCTGTTTCAACAGTAAAACAG